TTCATGTCCACAGTTCCCTGAAAGCTGCCACCCAGGTGGATAGAGTTGTTAAGAAGGCGTGTGGTCTGTTAGCTTTCATTAATAGAGGGATTGAGTTCAAGAGCCGTGAAGTTATGCTCCAGCTATACAAAAGCCTGGTTCGGCCACATCTGGAGTATTGTGTCCAGTTCTGGTCGCCTCATTACAGCGAAGATGTGGAAGTGTTGGAAAAGGTGCAGAGGAGATTTACTAGAATGTCGCCTAGAATGGAGGGAAGGTCTTACGAGGAAAGGTTGAGAGCGCTAGGGCTTTTCTCTTTAGAACGACAAAGGATGAGAGGTGACTTGATAGAGGTGTACAAAATGATCAGAGGTATAGACAGAGTAGACAGCCAGAGACTTTTTCCTAGGGTGGAGGTAGCTATTACGAGGGGGCATAGTTTTAAAGTGAGTGGAGGTAGATTATAGGGGAGACGTCAGAGGTAGGTTCTTTACTCTGAGAGTGGTAGGGGCGTGGAATGCATTGCCGGAGAGGGTAGTGGAGTTGGCCTCATTAGGGGCATTTAAGCGGCTATTAGATAGGCATATGGATAATAGTATAAGGTAGGGGTGGAGGTTGGATAGACCTTAGGATTAGGGTAAAAGTTGGGCACAACATCGTGGGCCGAAGGGCCTGTAGTGTACTGTTCTATGTTCAATGGAACACCAATGAGAATGCAGAGAGCAAGATGGTGGCAGATAAGGATGCTCCTATCAGAGGTCCTCTGCTCTGCCTGTTCTTTTTCCTCCTTTTTTCCTTTCTTCCCTCTTTTTTCTTTTCTCCCTTCAGCACCAGAGCCAACGGCATGTCCACAGCAGCGAGACTTCGTTTCCCGGAACACCAGGAGCAGCGCGGGGAAGAGCCCCGGAGCAGTGGCGAGCGGTAGCTGGCAGGAGAAGGCAGCCTGAGGCGAGTGGGAGAAGGTAACCCGACGCAGCCGAGGGGATGTGCAGGAGCAGGCAAGCCGGAGCGGGGGCTGGCGTGTTCCCAAAGTGACGGAGAGGCCAGCTCCTGAAGAAGTGGAGGGGCCGAGGGACACTGTCTGCAGCACAGTGTGGGCTGGGAAGCCTGGAGCACTGCTCTGGTGGAAGCATGGCGTAGCAGTGGAGAAAGAACGTTTGGACTCTCTCCAAGTTCTTTTTTACTACTTTATTCTAAGTTAATGTGAATGACGCTTATGCACAGTGACAGTACACACTTTTCACCATATTTTACATTGAATACACACGACAGTAAAGAATATTCAATTTAATTCAAATGGTGTGGAGGTGCCGGTGTTGGACTGGACTGGACAAAGTCAGAAGTCACATGATACCAGGTTATAGTCCAACAGGTTTATTTGAAAACACACAAGCTTTCAGAGTGCAGTCCTTTCGCCAGGTGCAGAGAGAGGAGAGCACACAGACACAGAGTTTACAGGCAGAGAGATCAAGAGCTGAGAGATAAAAAGCTGATACAACAGGTGTGAGTGCAGTGCCAGATAATAAATCTCGGCAGGTGACCAGGAGTATTAGACAGTGAGTAATGTGTTTATAAAGTCAATGTCAGTGCTATGCCATTATAACAATTAGGCAGAGCAATAGGAATAAACAAAAGGTGGCATCTTAGGTTAGGCACTGAACTGTAGGTGTGAAGTCTTGTTCAGAATCTGTCTGAGAGTTTTAACCTGGAATCAGGTTGGTTTTATTCCAAAAGCAGGAATTTATAAGATGCCACACTGACTGTGACTACAAATTGTGTGCTTTTTTCGAACAAAATAGAGTGTATCTCCAAATAAACAAACATCTTGGACAAAATTATTCACCCCATAGATTTATATGTGTGTGTGTGTGCGCGTTTGAGAGAGTATATGTGTGTGAGAGGGTCTGTATGTGTGTTTGTGAGAGCAGGACCGTGTGCGCACAGGAGACCGTGTAATAAGTAATTCTAAACTGTATCAACTGATTAAGGTAGAGAGATCATAACAATTTATCAAGGTGATGCTGTCAAAATAGGACAGTAAGGGAGGTATTACAAATACAGAACAGTATAGTGCGGTCACCTGTAGTGCGAAATGAACCCAAAATCACAGTTGAGACCATCTTCATTGGTGCAGAACTTAATATCAGTCTCTGCTCGGCTACTCTGCATGGTTGCGTATCTCAAAGTTCACCTTGCAGGACCCGTTCAGCTACACATCAAGGTATGTGAAGAAACTACCTTTTTATCAATTTCTGCAGTCCCTTTAATGGTGCTTATTAGTCTACAGTCGAGTCAAAAAACTGACTGACTAACTTATTCAAGAGCCTATTTCATACAAGCACTCGAGACACAGAGGTCATTTTCCAGGAGGTTATGGAAATTAGACACAGAATGCTCCCAATAAAAAGATTTTGTGTAACTGTGAATAGTAGACTCCATGTTTGACAAATATTGCTAATAAACAAGTATGGATGCAAATCTCTTAAGATGTTGAGTACACAATGTATTCTTTAATAAATAAAGGTGTTGGCAGTAAATGTTTAAGGCCGAGAAATCGACTGCAGCATGTGCACAGGATATGGCTTCTGTAATAGACACAATGCTTCTACCTCCAGTCTCTGTAGTATGAAAATGGAAACGCGAGGGAGCAGAGCTGAAAACAGAGTTAGTTATTCAATTCTCTTCGGTCCAACGTTTGTTCTAATTATGAGAACGTCTCACTCAACTGGTAGCTTAAAAAGAAACCCAACAATCTTTCAAAATAATCAGGTCATAAATTATAATGTGTAAAATGCATCCACACAAATGGCATCCAATCAAATTTCATTATCTCACACCGTGTGCTTGGACAGATCTGTCGAGGTAAACACCAAAGTCCCTGTAAACCACAAAGGAGTGTGCTGAAAAATACAGAGATAGTAGGAACTGCAGAGGGTCTAGGCCCGAAACATCAGCTTTCCTGCTCCTCTGATGCTGCTTGGCCTGCTGTGTTCATCCAGCTCTACACCTTGTTATCTCTATTGCCGAAAAATGCAAAGTGCTTTCCACTCTAATTCACATCATAACAGGGCAGGAGGTAATGGGCAAGCCTTACTTTATCATGCTAAGTGCAATGGATTGTAGATTTCATGATTTGACTGTGTATAACTATTTTGACCTGCAGCGATTATTAAAAGGTAATAAAAGTCTATGGAAGATTTTGTTTTGTTCCAATGCTCTCCCAATCCAAATAAAAAAAAATAGACCTGCCTTAATGGTATTTGACATTTTGTTGAAATTTCAATTTATTGCCTCCTGGGGGGTGGGGTGGAATCTCATGAACTCAGGTCTTCCTTTATAGACATATCCAAGCCTGGGACATCCCCTTCAATGGGAATCTCACAGAAAGGAAACAAGGTTCGGGTGTGCTGGGTGTGTTCAACTTCACACTCAAGAGCTCGTTAAATCTGAATCCTCAGCAAGAAATGAGATTTCCTGAAGCTTTGCAGTTCTAGGTCAACTCTCGGACCAGCTGCTCCAGATTTGAAAGGTTGCTGTTGGTAGTATTTGATGCTGTTCCTAAAGAGTTAATTTTCAAATGTTTACAGCTGCAGGCAGCCTCAAACACGTTAATTTGTTCTATGATAATGTCACAAATGACAGATACATGTAAATCTCATTCCCACTGCTGAACGTTCTGTAAGTGTGCTTTGACTACCACATTGCCATTTAATAGTCAACTGGTGATTAATGGCTGGGGTAGGATTTGCATCTCTCAGGAACAGAAAGTCTTGCTTCGGAGAACTGCAAGCCAATGAGATGGCCAGCAGTTCTATGTTCCCATGAGAATCAGGAATGGGTGGTGAACACTGCTGGGGCTACGTACAAACACTAGTGCAGATTGCTCCTCCACCAATGCTGAAAAATTTTACACAAGGACAGGGATGGGTGGATGATGTGAAAGCTGCATGTTGGATTTTACTCAACATCCCCTCTTCGAGTACCCCACCTTTAAACTCCATTTGCAGGAGTTTAAAAACTTGCCCCATGCACTTTACATTAAAAATAATTAATTGTAATATCAAGGAGAATGTGTGAAATAGTACATTTCACAGATGCTTAACAATAGATCAATGAATATTTGCTAAACAGTGCTCCCTCTACACATTTTCAAAAAGATGTTTTCTCTCCGTTTTCTGAGGGAAAAATGGATACAGCTCAGTGGGTACTGGTAATCCCTTGCCAGCTCACCTAACTGACGATTTGTCATATGTAACATTAGAATACAGAGTGTCAGTCTGATATTAAACCACAGAGAATATTGTACCCAGTGTCTGATTTCCAACAGAGGTCAGGGCAATGATAAGAGGCTGCTTTTAAATTATGTATCCATGCTATAGTTATTTTCAAGGGCATCCTCTGTTAGCTCTTACTAAGACTCTAGCTAAGATGAACTGAATTCTGTTTCCTAACATATTTGAAACTGGTTTTAATAAACTCCATCCTGAATGGTCTTCAACACTGGCTCTCATTCATCTACAGATATCTGCACCCAGATTGTAGATCCTGCCCTAAAACCTTCTATCCCCGGAATTATTTAGTCTTTTTGCCCTGCATTTATCAATGGAAAATTTACAGTGTAAATTTATATGATTCTAGAATGGAAAGAATTGAATTAAGGTATTTTAAGTTATTTTATATTACTGTATTCGTAGTCCAGATGCCTAGAGTAATGATTCGGCAAAATAAGGATAAATTCCATAGCAGTAGTTGAGAAATTTAAATTTAGGTAATAAATCCAGAATAAGCAGCTAGCATCAGTAACAGTGACCATGTAACTTCTGCCTTGTCAAAACAATCTGACTCACTGCATTTTTTGACTCACGTACCTGGGACCAGTATGAAAGATGAACTTGTTCAGTTCATAGAGTGAAAGCTATTAGCCTTAATACAGCTTTTCAGGACAAAAATTGTGTGTGTTACATCCAACTTGGATGTCCCATTGCTAAATTAAAAACTTTGTTGAATTTATGTGTACTCACTGCTGCTACTGACAATCTCTTTGGGACTTGATGACTTTGGCTGGGCACAGTGCTCACACAGACAATCCTTTCCATTAAAAGTCACACGGTCCCCTGCTGGGAAAGGGCGCCTGAAAAACAGCAAGAGAAACCATTTTTATCAAATACTGAATAACAGGAAACAGCTAAATGAAAAAAAAAGCTATTTTCTAAAGTGGAGTCAAAATATGCTACTCAAACTGTTTAAAAAAATGTAATTACAATCCGTATTTATGTAGCACCATTCATATTCTCATAGAACATAGAACATTACAGCGCAGTACAGGCCCTTTGGCCCTCGATGTTGCGCCGACCTGTGAAACCAATCTGAAGCCCATCTAACCTACACTATTCCATTATCATCCATATGTTTATCCAATGACCATTTAAATGCCCTTAACATTGGCAAGTCTACTACTGTTGCAGGCAGGGCATTCCACGCCCTTACTACTCTCAGAACATCCCAACCTGTGTTACAGCCAATGAATTGCAGACAGTCAAAATGTAGGAAATGCTTCTAATGATTTGTGCACAGCAAGTTCCCTTCAAACTCCCAGCAACATGATATGGCTGAAGCACTGATGATGTCAGTTGAGAGGTTAATAACTGGCCAAGACACCAGGGACAACTTCCTTCTTCTCTTTCCAAAGAACAGTGAGACTAGATGACACCTTGATTTGAAATCCAATCCAAAGTGCCAACAATGCAACATCCCTACAACTTTGCTCTGGAGTATCAGTCTAGGCTTTGTGTTGACATTTCTGAATAGATCTTAAACCCGCAACTCTTTTGCCCAGAGGAACAAATGTTTCCTACTGAGCCACAACTAACATGATAACAAGAAAAATGTATCACTACTGACAATGACAAGGGCAATTCCTATGTTGGCTTTCCCACATTTCAGCACAGAAAGAGAACCTTCTGTTAATTTGGAATCAACCGAGGACTTGTTTTCCAAATATGAGAGAAATATGCTATGGTGAGAATACAGGCCAAGCAGAATCTCATTTATTACCATTGTAGGTCCACAAGTCTATTTATCAATCTGAAATTGAACAATGAGACCATACAACAAATAAAATTATTAGACTCTTACAAGGATAACAGTCATTGATTAAATGCGCAGTGTAGTTATATAGATTTGATTTTGTTCTCTCCCATTGCACAGAGGTAAATTTCAATTAGGGTGGTGAGGATGTGGGTGGGTTGGGAATAGGGAGGTCTAGCAAGTAAGCCTGCTCAGGCCTTGGGTGGGAATGGGGAAGGCACTTCCATCATCAGATCACTTTCTCGATTGCTACGCACCAAAACTTCCCATTCCCCCATTAGCCTTTCCAACATAATGCTTCCACCATTTGTCACCACTCCAGTTCCTGCTAAAATATCCCCTGATGCATCTTTATCCTGGCTCCCTGGATTTAGAATCTGCTGACAGCTGTAGACCCAGAAATGTCCAGATTCCCAGTGGCACTGCTGGGGCTACAGAATTTCCAGGCAATCAGACTGGCCAACAGCTCCCTGATGAAGGGTGCCTTCCTGAGTGAGGGGTGGAAGTCTTGCCTTCAGCCAATTAATGGGCACAGAGCATTTAATGGCCATGGTGCCGCCAACATCATGGGATGCTCCCTCTTGACATGTCTGGTGGTGGGGCACGAAACCCCACTATCCAAAAAACCTTGCTCATGTAGTTAACGACAGCAAATTCCATTGTGATTGGGAAAGAAAATCAGTGAATCTTGATGTATATTTGGTATCTGACAATATCACTGTATGGAGCTTTTAAATACAAACTATATGTAAATCAATAATTTTCAAGCTGATATTGCACATAAACCAATTCCATAGTTTCAGTTTGGCAAATTAGGTTAAACAAAACACATTTTATTGGTACAAATTACATTAATGGGACATACAAATCAAAGTGTGCACAGCTGATATACCAGATCTAGAGCAGTTATAGACTGTATACACACACCTCAGTAGAAGGGCACAACTTCAGACATACTCCCTTTGCCACAAGTATTCATAGGTAAATTATATAGTCTTTGTTGACTGGATAAATCCAAAGAAACAATCTTAACTTTTGTTGGACTTCTACAAGGGCTACTGAAAAGGAGCAGCTGGTCAGTGAGGTAGGGGAAGTAGGTGGAGGAGAGTGAAATGTAAGGCAGTAGATGGTCCTCTTCAGGGATTACAGGAATGGTCCCTGGTACTCGTTTACGGAGGTGGTTTGGGAGGGTCTGACAGCTTGGGGTGAAAAGGCCTACATTTTCTTGAATGACAGAGCAAGCATGATGGGTTTAATGGCCTACTCTTGGTCCAATTCCTTATTATCTTATGATCTATTGGTAGTGAATAAGGAAAAGCCATGCCCTCTGATTGGGCAGAATGACAAAAGATTAACAATTTATTATTATTACCAAGAATAAGGAGAATAGTTGGGCAAAATTTCTCACACAGTGCTTTGTAAGGAATATTTGGATAAATATTTGAAGCAGAGGAAAACAGGAAAACAGGACAAGAAGAAGAAAACAGGACAGTGCAATTAGTTTCAGATTACTGTTAAGTCAGAACAGACATGTCAGTTGTGTTTTAATGTTGTAAACCTTTACTGCAACATTGTTACAATATAGAGAATATTTCTGACTGGAAAGTTCTTATGACGTTTGCAGTTTTGCATTTTAAAATGTAGTCTTACTTGCATATGGAGCAAACAAAGCATTTGGGATGATAGGTCTTTCCCAGTGCTGTGACTACTTCTCCCTCCACAAACTCTCTGCAGCCCTGGCAACGAGTTCCATACAGCCGCTGGTAGTCCAAGGTGCAGAGATAATCACTATTCTTCATGAAAAATCCACCTTTGGCCAAGTCACAGCCACAAACTGGAAAGCAAATACAAATAAAATGGATGTTAGATGAATGGTCCTTAAACTCATCAAAACAAAGAAATTCATTTATGGACTCCAGAACTTTATCAGTCAGTCACAGTCCAGCACCTACATTTGGCTCCAGCACAGAAGAAAATGGAGGTTCCTCTCATTGATAACTGAGAAACACCTGTTCATCACAGAACAACCCAAAATTTAATCATTGGTTCTCAATTCTGAAACTCTCAAGGTTACAAAATAACCTGCAGTCCTTACTGACATAACCATGTGGAACAGAATCTCAGACAGTCAGTCATCAAAAGTAATGGTCATAATATCTTTTTTTTAACAAGTTGTTTCATCATTTGGCAAACCTTAGTTGAAGCAAATTGTGAACAAGGACATTATATCCAATTGTTACTTTTCTTCCCAGAGTCTTACATTTTGTCTTCACAAACTCCTGTTTAAAATAACCTTTATGGAGGGCTTCACTAAGCTCTCTCTCCATGGTCACAATGAATATCCAAAATATATATCAACTAATTAGCCTATACCCAAAATTAGGTTTGCTCATAATATTTAGCTTACCTGGCATGGCCTTCTTTTTCATTGGAGGTCAACTGGGAACACTCTATCCAGAGACCTTTCAGTTTAAAGATACAGGATTGAATATTCAGTTCTCACTGGACAAAGATTGTAGGAGGGAAGGTCGCTTATTTGGGCAGGCTGCTGGCCTACCTGAATCTCACTCTCTTCCTGCCTTCATACTCACCATGATTACACCTCCCACTCCACTCCCCTAGGCCCTACAGAACCTTACAGCAGGAACTGGGGAAAGAATCAAATGCACAACTTGAGGCCTCAGAGGCAGACTCAACTGCTGTTCCTCGTGACTTTCAGCCGTCATTGGAGAACAGCAGCCACAAGGTCTCAAGGTTCAAAGATCTGCTGGATCACGAAACAAAAACAAAAATCATAATTTTAGGACAGCTGACTGACACCGTAAGCAGTTCATCAATTTCACCAGGACAGGTCTTGCCATCTTCCTTTCCTTGCCCAACATAATCTTCAGCTATTTTTGACATTCACAATACATTCTGGTTAAAAATCTGGGAGGAGCTTTAGTTTGGCAACTCACACCGTGGCTCGAGTTCTAAGAGCTACTACTTCCACTCAACTCCAAAACCTCTGCCTCAACTTTAACAATCTCATACCTCAAAACTCCCAACATTGTTTGCCAAATGAAGCAGACAGTCTAAAATACCGACCTCCTCCTCACATTCCTACAGGGCAAAATGGTTTTTATATGTGCCAAAGGCAAGCTACCGATACCAACCTCCTCTTGCCATGAAAGATGCCAAGGTTGGCAGCATTTTGCCTGTACCAGGTTAATGATAAAATGCCCACATTGATGTGCTGGAGTTTGGTGAAGTACCACACAAACAACTTTCCACCACCCTCTCTAACTTCTTAACGCCAAACCCTAAGTTTGTCTCATGAGGATCTTTGGTCTCGTTTAACTGCCTGCTACTTCTCAATTGGACACCCATTAGGTCACTCTTTACAGTAGCCACCTACCAACAATTGGAGTTATAATTTCCTCCATGCCCTATCTTTCCACTCTAATGAGCAGCTTGCCTTATATTTGAGTTTGCAGTCTTGAAAAAGTCATCAAGCAGAATGTTAAGCAGATTTTCCACTTTACAGGTGCTTCCAGGATTTCCTGCTTCCCTATAGATTTACAGAATTTTCATTTCTTTCCCGTCTTATACAAAGGGGTGAACAGCTGGATGCAATGTTACCAGAACAATTGAAGCGACCAGGATCCTTTGCACGTCACAAAACAAGTCATCTTCTAAAATCACTCAACGTTAATCTCTAATTAAGATGAACTAATCAACCTGACCCTCCAATTTACTGTTTTACAGGCCCACAAATACTGAGAGCAATTGACGTTTCTTACACTTGCACAGAATATTTAAAGCAAGTATGGTGACAATGAATACAACATAAGAACTAGGAGCAGGAGTAGGCCGTCTGGCCCTTTGAGCCTGCTCCACCATTCAATAAGATCGTGGCTGATCTTTGCGTGGACTCAGATCCACTTACCCGCGTTCTCACCGTATCCCTTAATTCCTTTATTGTTCAAAAAAAATCTACCTTTTCTTTAAAAATGTTTACTGAAGTAGCGTCAACTACTTCACTGGGCAAGGAATTCCATAGATTAACAACCCTCTGGGTGAAGAAATTCCTTCTCAATTCAGTCCTAAATCTGCTCCCTCTAACCTTGAGGCTATGCCCTCTTGTCCTAGCTTCACCTGCCAGTGGAAACATCCTCTCTACTTCTATCTTATCTATTCCCTTCATAATTTTATATATTTCTATAAGATCCCCCCTCAATCTTCTGAATTCCAATGAATATAATCCCAATCTACTCAGTCTCTCCTCATAAGCCAACCCCCTCAACTCCGGAATCAACCTAGTGAACCGCCTTTGCATCCCCTCCAGTGCCAATACATCCTTTCTCAAGTAAGGAGACCAAAACTGCACACAGTACTCCACTTGTGGCCTCACCAGCACCTTGTACAGCTGCAACATAACCCCTCTGCTTTTAATTTCAAACCCTTTAGCAATGAAGGGCAAAATTCCATTTGCTTTCCTAATTACTTGTTATACCTGCAGACCTACCTTCTGTGATTCATGCACAAGGACACTCAGGTCCCTCTGCGTTGCAGCATGCTGCAACTTTTTACCATTCAAGTAATAACCCTTTTTACTATTACTCCTACCAAAATGTATGACTTCACATTTATTTACATTGTATTCCATCTGCCAGACCTTTGCCCACTCACTCAATGTATCTATGTTCCTCTGCAAAGTTTCATAGTCCTCTGCACACTTTGCTCTGCCACTCATCTTAGTGTCATCTGCAAACTTGGACACCCTACACGTGGTCCCCAACTCCAAGTCATCTATATAAATTGTAAATAATTGCGGTCCCAACACCGATCCCTGAGGCACACCACTAGTCACTGACTGCCAGCTAGAATAGCACTCATTTATCCCCACTCTTTGCTTCCTGTTAGTCAACCAATCCTCTATCCATGCTAATACTTTACCCTTAATGCCATGCATCCTTATCTTATGCAGTAGCCTCTTGTGTGGCACCTTGTCAAAGGCCTTTTGGAAATCTAGGTACACCACATCCACTGGGTCCCCATTGTCCACCTCGCTCGTAATGTCTTCATAGAATTCCAAAAGATTTGTCAAGCATGACCTGCCCTTCATGAACCCATGCTGCGTCTGCCCAATGGGACAATTTCTATCAAGATGCCTTGCTATTTCTTTCTTGATAATAGACTCAAGCATCTTCCCCACTACAGAGGTTAAGCTAGCTGGTCTATAATTCCCCATCTTTTGTCTACTTCCCTTTTTAAACAGTGGCGTCACATGTGTTGTTTTCCAATCTGCTGGGACTGCCCCAGAGTCCAGCGAATTTTGGAAAATTACTGCCAGCGCACCTGCTATTTCTCCCGCCATCTCTTTTAGTACCCTGGGATGCATTCCATCAGGGCCAGGAGACTTCTCAATCCTTAGCTCCATTAGCTTGCCCAACACTACCTCTTCCGTAATAATGATTGTTTCCAGGTCCTCACCTACCTTCGTCTCTTTGTCAATGTGAGGTAATCATTTCGAATCTCACCAATACAGGACGCATTCACTCTTCAGCCTTGTCTATCTACATATAAATCACAATCTGATATATGTAGCATATGAACTAGTGTGTTGTGCAGTCTTTTCACATTTCAAATGTTAAATGGTCTAAAGAGGAAATGTTGTGGTTACGCACACTCAAACCCATCCCACAGAACATAATGCTGTTGAAGAATGACCACTGAAAAAACTCTCCCATTCATAATTTGTGTAGATCATCTAGTCACAATGCAAATGATTCTTCCGTGGATACATATGCCATGTGTACAGGGCTACAAAACCATTCAATAAATAGATGTAAATACTGAATTCAAAATATTACAATGAACTGATTTTAAGAATGGCACGCTGATTTGTTTGGGGCAGCTTTGAGTCTCTTCATGATCCTGTTTTGCATTTGAAGGAAAGTGACACCAATCTCCCAAAAAAATGACTTCCCCCATCTTCCCACTAGCAGCCATCCAGCTTTGAAATAAGTTAAAGTTCAAACTAAAAAGGAAGGGAGCCTCATTAACCAATGCAACCATGTTACTGGAATGCAAATAGCATGCTCTGACTCTAAACAGAAATCAGTCAAACCAGTGCTTGTTACAGCATCCCTGAATCCCTGCTCAGTAAAAATTGGGAAGCCTACACAGTTGCTGCAATAATTTTGACACTAACCAGTTAGGATCGTTGCCCAAATTCCCATTGACTCCAGTTTTGCTCAGGCTCCTTTATGCCACACTTGGTCAAATGCTGCCTTGATATTAAGGACAGTCACACTCACCTCAACTCTGGAATTCAGCTCTTTTGTCCATATTTTAACTGAGGCTGCAATGGATTCAGAACCTGTTAAAATCCAGTTCTGAGTTCTGAGGAAGGGTCACCTGACCTGAAACATTAACTCTGTTTTCTCATCCACAGATGCTGCCAGACCTGCTGAGCTTTTCCAGCAACTTTGTTTTTGTTCCTGTTAGAATCCAAACTCAGCATCACTAAGCAGGTTATTGCTAACTGCTGCTTAATATTAGTATTGTTGACACTTCCCATAACTTTAATAATGATGGGTTACTACAAGATCATACATTCACATCTCAATACTGCAAGATCACAGAATGCTAACCCAGTTTTTCCAAATCTCAGGCTCACTCTAAACATTGGTCCTTAATAATACATAATATCCTTGGCCTTACAAAGCCATGAACGCACTGCGAGCTACACCTTGGGTTATCAGCTGGAATATTATATAGTCTTACAAGTGAATGCTCAAGTTATCCAAAGTATGAGACTGAGATAACAGAGTCTTGATTTTACAACTG